CCTCACTTTCTTCAATTATTTTGACAACGATGACACCAATTCAAAACACATTGCACTAGATCACACTAAATAACAACATTGACTTAGGATAGACCGTTCTAAGCATAGTTCTCTCCTCTCCTCTTTTCTCAGAACGAGGTGATGACAAAATCGAGCGGTAGACAATCTTCGGACGACAATCGAGACTACAACATGAAGAGAAGGATGATCTTCAGCGGAATCTTTTCATAATCTTAAACAACTTAAACCCTTTAGGACTTTGAGGTTGTTCGTCTAACATGACATAAATCCCCACACTATCTTTTAGGCTTTCGTACGATCGTATATTGTGTGAATATAAGTCCTAAACTTTTTTTAGGGTTCCGAAGTTGTCGTTCGGTACGACGTAAACTCTTTTATCTTCGAGGGTTATTTGCATAAGTATGTATCATGCAAGTGTAAGTCCAAAATAATAAAATCGGTAGGATTGAACACTTAATGACATCACTTCCAAAACACAGCCACACAGTAGGATAGTTTGAAAGTCACTGAGGGTTCTCCTCAGGATCCGTGACGCCTTTTACTTTTTATTCCTTTGGATTCCTAAAATAAGTGTTCTCATTTGACTCTTCCTACAAGCAACTTTGAAAACTAAATATTGGAATCTTGAATACTAGTACATCTGATCATTATCGAGAGTTTTCTCAAGTATCCTCGGTTGTTTGAGATATAATTAACTTTAGAGGTTTGCCTCTATAGGGAACTTGGAACCTAGGTAAAATAAATCCTATTTAATTTTTGTATTAGATTAGATAATTTGTCGGTCAAACAAAAGTTTGTAGACCAAACGAATGTCATAAATCTCTTAGTTTGTTATGATTGGGTCCATCACCGAGGGATACACTTATCTTTCTGGAATGTGTATTATTTATGGTATCGAACACAATTATGTAAACTATCAGACGAATGAGATCCATTCGGTCTCATTTTTCAAAATTAAAACACACTATTTTCAAAATTTTAAAAAAAAATTATATGATTTTTTATATTAAATAAAATTTAAAAATTATTTTCAGAATAATGACCGACATCGGACATTTTGAAGAACTACATAAGGCTTCATCCCATCTGGAGGGGTACGTAGGCAATTATTTTGGTGCAGTTGAATTGGAGTTTGGAGCTCATTTGTTGAAATGAGATGACGATTGTTGTATTTATGAGATGACGATTGTTGTATTTATGATTTTTATTGTAATTAGAGATAATTTGGTCTTTTAGCTTTAATTAATTGTATGTCCTAATCCTTCTCTATAAAAAGAGCCCTAAGACTTGTGAAAGACTTACGAGTGCTCATAATTTTTTTTTCTCTCATCTAGTGTTAATGCAATATCCCTTCATGTGGACGTTGGCGAATCAACTTAATGTTGAACCAAATAAATTATGTGTTTGATTTTTGTTGTGTGAATTTCTACGCTTATGCGTTGTTTCACATAAAATAAATTGCTCATAAACAATATGTTCGTTTTCTGCTCAATTTACACATTATTGTCGTGTTAGGCTGGAAATTGACTCATTTAAATTAATTAGAATAATAGATCTAGTGTGTTGGGTCTAAGTCTACAACATTCTTATGCAATAAAAAACGCATAATCACATGATCACTGTAATGATTTAAACTTCGATATATATATATATATATATTATTATATATATAATATATTATTTCAAGTTAAAACGAGCCAAACACGTTCGAATAAAATGTTATTTGTGCTTCAGTTGTTTATAATTCGAGGTTAAAAACTGTATAGGTTTTGCTGGATTATTGAATGAATGAGCTATTTAATGGGCCGAACACAAGCTGATCGTAAAAACGAACTTTTTTCACATGTGAACTCACAGAATTTAGGTGGTATTTGCCCCATGCTTCATTGGATTTGAATGTGTGAAGATATATTTAATATTTTCTTCACTTGGACCCCGTAGTTAGGGCTGTCAAAAAAACTCGTTGTTCGCGAACAGTTCGTGTTCGGTTCGTCAATGAGTTCGTGTTCGATTAGTTCGATAAGTAAACGAGACAAACGCGAATAATTTTTTTTCGTTCGGTTAGTTAAACGAACCAAACACAAACAGTGATGTGTTCGTTCGTGTTCGAATCGTTATTGTTTGAAATATAAAATAATATAAAATAATTATATATAAAAAATTTATTATATTTTAAAACATTAAATTTTATAAATTATAATATATAATAAAATAATAATAATAATATATTAATATACTATAGTAGTAATATACTAATATAGATATTGTATATTTATATAATATAAGTTATATAATTAATATATAATATTATTTTTATATATTAATATTAGGGATGTCAAACTGGCTCGTCGTTCGCGAACAGCTCGTGTTCGGTTCGTGTTCGGCTCAAGTTTTGTTCGTTCGTGTGGGGTTCGTTTACACCCCTACCCGTAGTATTGGGTCGATTATATATATATATATATATATATATATATTCAATTCTATTGAGTATCAAAAGAAAAAATTTCTCAATTTTCTGAAATCTATTAGTATAAGCCTTGTGTCTAACTAGGGCTGTCAATTTGGCTCGTTGTTCGTGAACAACTCGTGTTCGACTCGTTAAACAACTCGTGTTTGGCTCGCAGAAAATGTAAAGGAGCCGAACACAAACAACAGTTTGCTCGCTAGTGTTCGGCTCGAAATGGCTCGAAAAAAAATTATATAATTTTTTCTATAACAATATATTACATATTTAAATCATAACACGTGGCAATGTGGTTATTGCTTTTTTTTTTTATAGATTTGATCCAGATTCGAATCCCACACTTTACATCTATGTTTTCTCAATTTTAGTTTAACGAGTCAATTTCTAGCCGAACACGAACACGAATATTTAAATCGAGCCGAACATGAACACACTGTTCACGAGTCGATTTCGAACACGAACAATTTCGAACGAGCCGAACACGAGCCGAACACGAGTCAAGCCCTCGCTCAAGCTCAGCTCGTTTACAACCCTACGTCCAACACATTTTATTGGGTTTATTGCTCTCTTTCTTTTTTTTTTCTGGTAAATCTGCATCTTCATAGTAACTGAATCATTTTTTTTATAACACATGACCACATTTTTTTTATCATTTTTTTTTCCTTTTTTTAAGCACAACTAATTTTCATTCTTTTCCATTTAATTTTTGCAAAGATATTTTTATATTTGTCTTGCATAATACTTTAGTGATATAAAGTAATTTTTATCATAAACATCTAAATTACACATTTTTAGATGAACTTAATAAAATTATTTTTGATTATTCATGTATCACATTCTAAAATAAATTGAAAGATTTTGAGCTTTTTTTTTTTAACTAAATGTATAAGAATATTAGGATGTACCTTTTTAATCCTTTATCATCTAGGAATTATTAAAAAAAAATTAGTAAATTAAAAAATGATTAAGATATCCATTAACTCCTAAAAGGACAAGCATTATAAATCCTATTTTTATAATATCAATTTATACATGCGGGATTTGTTAGGTATATATGTGTGTGTGTGTATTGAAAGTAAAGATGTCAAAGGGGACTCAAGCTCCCGACCCGAAAATCTTATACTGTGGATGCCAACCAACAAACCGGGGTATAAAAAAAAAAGAAGAACTATTTGTCCTCTATGTACTTTGAAACAAATAGAAACTTCACAATTATCTTTATTGATTGGATATTTCAGCCTTACAGCCACCAATATTTTTATCTTAAAGGAGTACATCCCTCCTTTTATTTTTCGCTAAACCAAAAAAAAGACCTTACATAAAATTAAAAAAAAAAAAAAACTCTTCACCCAATACTTAGAGGAGAAAATATTACATATGATCATCCTTATATGTGGATTGGGATGTTTGTGGGGGTGTACACCCCAATCAGCATAGATCATCGTATGTCGGAACATATTAAGGGATATCAATGGACTTGTCTGCAAAATTGCAAAAAGAAAATTATGTCATCCACCTGAAATAAAGAAATCTAATAATGAAAGAGAGGGAGATTGTCATATTATATATGTATTAGTGTTTTTCATATAGATCTTAAGTAATTGGGGGCATTTACATACATATCACACAATTCTTATGCATTAACATATCTAAATTTTAGATTTTACATTTATAAAAAGCAAAATATATAATATGATATGTATGTAAAAGCTAAAGTTTAGATATTAGCTATGTAAATGCGAGAGAGTTGTGTAGCATGTATTTTAAATCTTCCTAAATAATTAGTCTTATGTGTAGCTGTGAGCATGAATTGTAGTATGTCTTTTTATTTGTTCTAGCTCGTTGGCTTAAAATGTAATATTAATTATAAGAGGGTGCTGAAAAGCTCATGTCCATTCATAGGGTTGATTGTATCAATATGTAAAATTAATTGTGGAGTTGATGTGGAAAAGTTCAAGGATCATTTGGGATTAATTTTATTCTTATTTTTTTATTTTTTCTTTCTATTTTTCATTATTTATTTTTTATTCTAAAATAAATTATGTTTGAAAAGCTCAAATAAAATGAGATTATTTTTAAAAATAAAGTAATTTATTTTTAGAAATAAAAAAAGAAACATATAAAATATAAATTTTATGACAATGATATTTAAAATAAAACCCCAAATGCATCATAATTGACAGTTACTAATTATGTAATATGTCAATGAATCAAAACATATTACAAAATTGAAATCCTTTACTTAGGGGCCATTTTATTTTGTAATAAAATATTTTTGACATATTTAAATAAAATATGTTTGTTTATAAGAAAATAAAAAATATATCTAAAAGTTTTTTATTGTTTTTAAAAACAATTTGCTTGAAAAAATAGAAACTTAAAATTAAAAAAAAAAAAAAAAATAACTTTAAAAATAAATTAAAAAATAAAACCAAAACTATATAACAAAGAAAAATATTTTTTTTTCCAAAAAAAGCCATTAGAGAATTAAGTCTAATGTCTGGCATAATTATACCTGAGTAGGCTGGATTTGGATGACCAAGGGAAGTTTGATCAGCACGAGATGCAGCTTTTGGCAAATCTTCAGTCTTTGGCTCTGTGGAAATCTGAAGAAAGTAATAGAGAAAACAACCTCCCAAAGCACCTACAATAGGCGATATTATATATATCCAAAGCTTGTCGAAATTATGTGCTACGATTGCTGCCCCAATGCTCCTCGCAGGGTTCATAGAACATGCAGTGATTGGCCTGCAATTAATTTGTATATATTTGACTGATAAATTATTTTTGTTAAGAAGCAAAATGAAGAAAATTTTCATTTTATGTATATATTTGATTGATGATTAACTGTTTAAGCGAAGTTTGGTTAATTACCCGGCCATGATAACATTGACGAAGACTATTGCACCTATGGCTACTCCTCCAAAGCCCTTAGTCTGTCAATTAAAGCAGATATATTTACTTGAGATCATGCAGGAAAGAAGCTATTTTTATCAACAAAACTTGATGCCATATGTGCTAGTTATAATTTATTCTGCCTCTGCAAATTAAAATGATAATAATTAAGAAATTTAAAAGTTATAATTTTTACTGAGAAAAAGATACACATATATCTATGTTATATGTATATGTATGTATATGTATATATATATATATATATGTCTACGTGTCTACATATGTATTTATGCCTATGTATGTATCTTTTTATCTGTATATGTGTCTATATATATATATATATATGCATGAAAAATATATGCATGTATGTATATGTTTGTATGTATGTATATGTATGTTTATATGTATATTTGTGTATTTAAGTATATTTATGTATGTATGTATGTATATGGAAATATATAACATACCGCTCCAGGATGTAATATAGTAGAGCATATAACCAACAAGAAGAGAAAAGTGATAATAATCTCCCAAGCTATCACATTTAGATTACTGGCTGGTTTCGGTCCAACCGGTAATGTTAACAATATGGCCACATTATCTTCCCCAAATAGCAACCGAAGGGTCAAACCAGCAAAAATGGCCCCCAGCAACTGACCCAATGCATATACTGGAACCTAAAAACAATAAAAAAAGGTTATATAAATCTAATTACACATGCTAAACTCTAGCTAATTAATTAATATCATAAAATCAAACATATATTAAACAAAATAATTAAGAAAAATTAGAAAATTTTCAAAACCTGCTTCCATGGAAACTTGCCGATAGCAGCTAAGGCGATACTTGTAGCTGGGTTGATGTGAGAACCAGAGATATGGCCAATGGTGTAGACTATGGCTGTGACAGCAATAGCCCAGCTGAGAGCCACACCTTCCAGAGGGAGTGTAGTCCTCAGTGCTATGAATTCTGACCCAGATCCGAAAAATATAAGCATATATGTTCCAATGAACTCAGCCACCGCCTACATACAATCCATAATTGAAGAACAATGATAAAAATAGTCATTTATAAAATAATAAATCATCACTAGGATTTGAAGCAATTACCTTCTGGCTGGTGATGAGTGAGATGGCCTGAATGCTTTCCTGTGCTTTTGGCATTGTAATTATAGAGGAGAATTGCAGGCTAGCTGCAGCTGAGGGGGATGATGCCTTTTGCTTCTGCTTCATATTGATATTTATAGAGTCAGAAATTGTTCTGCTTCATAAATGTTTATTATCTTAATGATTTCATTAATTAGTAAGGGTAACATATGGAATATTGTTAATTACCACTATCATATGTGTCATTTTCATTCAGTCCATAAGAATGCTAACTCTGTTTTTATTTTTTATTAATTTTTTTTTATTATTTGTTTTATAATTAATTGTAATACTTGATATGTATGAGTATTTGATTAATGAGATAAGTATTCCACTTAGTGTAATTTTAATTATTTTTTTGAACAATTGTCATATTTTAATTTGTGATTTGTTATCTTTTGCATAATTAAATGCCATGAGTATATATTTCATTGCAAATATGAAAAAAATTTAAATGAGTATGAGAAGATAGTTTAGTTTATGCTTTTTTTTAGCTGGATTGATAATAATGAAATTTACATAAATACCACCCTATTCTTTTGTATTTACATATCTACACCTAAGCTTTCATATCACATCAAAAAAATACCATTATTTTAACTTTTGAAATGTGAGATACACATTCTCATGCCTTGAAAGAAGGTTGCATGAATATACAAATTTAAGATTAGGTGTTAGATATGTAAAAGGCATGGGGGTTGAGTGGTATGCATGCAAATCTTGCTAATGATTAAAGGTGAAATTTCTCTTATCTTGAATGCAAAATTTATTTGTGAAAGATAATAATGCATTACACATGATTTTAATACAATCATTTATCATATGATCTAGTTGATTATATATAATTGCACTTCAAATAGTTAAATACAACTTACCATTTTGGTCTACATGACTCTCAACTCCTACAGCTCCCAACTTTGACCTCTATGACATACGAATATTATTTCAACTCACCACTATGACCTACGAGACCAACTACGGCTTACGTGACTTACAGCTCGTGCAACTCCCAATTTCGACATTTGTGGGCTACGAATGTTATTGCAATTCACCATTACGCTCTACGTGACTAACTACGGCTTACGTGGCTTACAAGTCTTGCAGCTCTCAACTCCGACTTCTGTGGCATATAGACATTATTACAGTTCGTACGACTCACACGACAAACTACGACCTACATGACTCACAACTCATAAAACTCCTAACTCTTGTCTCTATGGCTCTGAACTTTATTGGACCTTATTGATGTATATCAAATATGAATGTTATTTTTAGGATATTTTTTTATCTTTATTCATGTATTTTTTATGTTTTCATTGTATTTGTGATTTTAGATGCAGTGTACAAGTGATTAGACAAATTGGGATGCAAATGAAATGAAACAAACTCAAAATGAGTTGAACCGAATTGAAACGGTTGCTCGGGCACCCCATCGCCAGGCCTGGGCAGCTAAATACTAGGGGACAGCTAAACATGCACCCAGACGCCAATTCTATTGGTCAGAAGCAAGCGCTCGACACTCGAAACATGGGCCTAAGCGTCCAACGCCCATAAATTCATCCAGAGAAGGCAGAAAAAAGACGTCGTGATTGCAGCGCGTAGGCACCAGTGACCACCGTTTAGGCTCCACAGACCAATGCATATGTGCCAATTCACTTATTTTGGCAATTTTGGTGGTTCAGACACGACAATTTATAGAAAAAGCTATATATTTGACTTCAGCTGAATGAAGGGAGATCCACACGCGCAAGAGAATGTGAAGACTTGGAGAAACTCTTGAGTGGACAAGATAGACAAGTTAGGGGAGATTTCTGAGAGTTTGGGGGTGTGTAATCTTATTGTGACTTAAGAATTCCTTTTGGGAGAAAGAAGGGGAACAAATTTGTTAAGTTTATTCATTTCATTTTTGTTTATATGTCGAACTTTGTATTTATGAGATTATCATTCAGTTAAATCATGTTGTTGTTTGTTATAAGTACATGTAGAAGGTAGAATCTCTTCTTTTCTCCCTTGGATTGGGTTGTAGGAATGTTAAGTGAGAATTTTTTTATGTGACCATTTATGGTGATGTTTTAGCCTTTCAAGCATAATGTAATTTTAACCAGGCAAATTAAAATGTTAAAATTTATCTTAAAATGTTTGATATTCGAGAGTCTTCTTAGTGGAACAACTAGGTTGACACATAATAATATAGAGGAATAAGAATATTCCCTTCAGATTAGTGCAACCAAGTGCTTGATTTAGGGGATTAAACTTGTTTGATTGTCGCCTACTTATCGTGTCACTTTTCCACACTTGATTTCCTACATAACTAATTCAAAGGAGAATCTCTCAAAAATATGAATACTCTTAACTCTCTGACCTCGTCAGCTTAGGCTCTTTAAACTTTGATAATTTAAGATTAGTCACTTTAGAAAAAAATAATCAAAACTTCAAACATTCAAGCTAGGACCAAACTTATTAGACTAGAACCTTTTTCATTTTGGGATTTAACGCATTTCTTGTGAGATTGATACACGGAACTTAGTTGCACATATTACTTCCACAACAAATAAACTTACGTGATTTGTCAAGGCTTCGTCGCATTTGGTTCGTATCAAGTTTTTGGAGTTGTTGCTTGGAGATCTCTTCGCACATTATTATTTTGTCATTTTCACCGTGGTTTCTACATTCTAAACATTCAAACTAGGACCAAACTTATTAGACTAGAACCTTTTCATTTTGGGATTTAACGTATTTTATGTGAGATTGATACACGGAACTTAGTTTCACTTATTACTTCCACAACAAATAAACCTACGTGATTTGTGAGGGCTTCGCCGCATTTGGTTCGTATCAAGTTTTTGGCGTTGTTTCTAAGAAATCTCTTCGCGCATTATTATTTTGTCATTTTCATTGTGGTTTCTCCATTCTAAACATTCAAGCTAGGACCAAACTTATTAGACTAGAACCTTTTTCATTTTGGGAATTTAACGCATTTCATGTGAGATTGATACACGAAATTTAGTTTCACATATAACTTCCACAATAAATAAACTTATGTGATTTGCCGCATTTGGTTCGTATCAAGTTTTTGGCGTTGCTACTAGGAGATCTCTTCACACATTATTATTTTTTCATTTTCACCGTGGTTTCTCCATTCTATCTTGAATGATTGCTTTTTTAGACAACTTTGATGCTCTCGAATGTTATAGTATTCATCATTCCCCTGCTTGCCTTATGTCTGACTGATTCTTCCAGTGAGATTTGTATGAGGGTCAACAATATCAAAACAAATCAGTTAGCACCCAACTCTAAAAGTTTTGAATTCATGGGTTACTCTAACTTTTACAAGCAATACAAGTGTTTCAATCCCAATACAAGCCATATCATAATTTCAAGGCAAGTTATCTTTCAAGAAATTATTTTTCCATTTCAAAAACTATCAACCACCAAGAGATTCACATCACCTCCTACTCAGAACCCTTTGGTAGTGTTAGTACCTGCATCCATTCCGCAATCTCAAAAATCCTTTCCTACATTAACACCGTCAACTTCCAAATTGATTTCTCTACCTATTACACCTTTATCACCACTTCCCAACACAAGTTTACAAACCTTAGCTACAAACTCCACAAACCCAACAACACTTTCTCCTCGGACTCCTATCAAACATCCAATGGTAACAAGAATACAAAATAGACTTGAGATAATATTTAATCTCAATCACATAACAGTACTACCATTGGATCTTATCAGCTATAAAACAACAGTAAAAGGAAGTTTAAGAAAAGTTGATTGCCCTTATGAATCAAGGGACATGAATATTGGTACCACCACACTCCTCACAAATGTATTAGGAAGTATGTGAATATACAAGACTAAACTAAATTTAGATGGAACAATTGCAAGATACAAAACAAGACTAGTTGCATAAGGATATCAACAAGAGCATAGATTAGACTATCATGAAACATTTATTCATGTGACTAAATTCTCTATAATTTGTGTATATGTATTTCTCACCATATTAATGCATCGTCATTAGAAAATTATGCAATTAGATGTATCTAATACATTTCTTGATGACAACCTCTTAGAAGGTGAACATATGGCTCAACCACCCAGATTCAAAGATTCTTATTGTCCAAATCATGTATACTTATTAAAGAAATCAAAATATGACATCAAGCAATCCCCTCGTCAGTGGTTCAATACATTTACAAATAATTGAAGCAAATTGGTATTCACAGTAGCATGACTTATCGATTCTTTTCTATCACAATAACAATGACTATATGTATCTTCTAATTTATGTTGATGATATTTTGATCACAGTAAACAATCACCACATCAATACTCATCTTCTGCAACAGCTTCAAACCAAATTTGAAATTCGTAACCTGTGATTGCTTTCATATTTACTTGGAATACATGCAACACAACAAAAATATGGACTACATCTTAATCAAGCATACAATCCTTCTACTCTACATAGTCAGAGGATGTAGTTGACCCAATCAAACAAAATGATCATTGTCAACAAACATGAGTTGTGCTGTTCAAGGGAATCTTGTAAACTTGGGGTACATGTTTGTCTAATAGAACAAATTTGAGCCAACCTTAGCTAACAAAGAGTTTTATATTCTATTAAATTTATCATATGATTCAAAACTCAATTGTAAGAAACTATTAAGGAACATATGAACTACAATCTTAACCTTCATTTAATAGTGCCATTTGACTTCAAATTACTCGATCATAGGGATTTCGTCGTAGCAACCTTTTTTTTACCACACCGATAGATGACTCAAACCTCATTCTTAACGATGTATATTATTTTAGGTGTGAATATATCAATACACTCGATGTAATTAACATTGGCTTTTTATGATTTGAGCTTAATTATCAATTTTTCACTCTTGATAAACTATGTTGGAGGGTGAATTGCCCTAAATTTGTAGGTGATTAATGTTTTACTTGAATATTCTTAGCTTATTTGTTTAATAACTTGATTTTTAAAACTTGACTTAAAACTAATCCTTTTGATTGTGATTTGCATTCTATATGATCATCATCGGAGAGAATTTAACCTTTGAAAATATGCATTTATTAAAAATGTTTGCAGTTTGTCACTTCAATAATTATCAACACATTATTTTCTTCAACTCCAGTCTTCCTGAAGAAGAGAATCAAGCTAAGTAAGCCTTACAATCATGCCTCTACAACAAATTAACTTGTTCTAAGTTGTGCAAACTTAATGATTTGTATTTGACATGAAAAAGAGAATTTTTATTTCCTTCTTCAAACATTAGTGAATCTTTCAAGTATATTCACACACTTCTGGCGATTGCATACTTATCAATGCTGGATGATTTAGATTAATTTGACTTTTAACATGTATTATTTTCAGATCGTAAGCCAGGATGTTTAACATATTTGTCAAAGCACATGTGGGTTCTTTATTATAGTCTTTCTATGATTTCCTTCTCAGACAATCTCTTCTCCAAAGCAAGAGCGGAGCGAGATAATAATGAACAAAAAAGGGCAAACTCAAGAAGACAAAAAAGACTGGATTAGAAAAGTTATCGTGGAGCTATCTTCGTAACATAAGTCAGAGGAAAGTGACCCAAAATAAGTAGAACCATACTTAACCCGAACCAGTATACGAAATTGGCACCAAACTTTATCCTTAGACCCCCAATCAATCTAAAAAATAATTATCTTATATGTATAATCAAACAATTCTAAGCACTTGTAAGACACCAAGTCTTACTTTGCAATTTGAAATTGCATGAACTCAAAATTCTTACATTTCAATGAATTGAAACATACTTCCATAAATTCCATGGAATTTATGAGTTGTTTTTGACAAATTCGTAGGGACAAGAACTATATATTATCACTTCTTATTTGATTCCAAGGAATGGTGCCAATTAATTGACAATAACAATTATTTTTGTGAATTGGCATAATTAAATGTAAAATATTCTAACGGACGTTACATATGCTGCTAACGGGAAGCCACAATGTTGCTCTTTAAATCATGAAGGAATAGGTCTTTTATCAAATTATTTGTTTTTGCATTATCTTTTTGGAATGTTCAAATTTCCTTACAATTTCAAGTCAAATGGGAATTTTAATTAATTGATTTTTTTTTTTTTTTTTGTAATTTTCTCACTGTAAATTCTTTAAATTTCAGCATAAATTCTTACCGAATATTCAGGGGCATAATTTGTAAATTTAAATTTAAGTGGTCCTTTTGCATAAAAAGCATTGGACTCATATTCATTTTCACAAAAAAAAAATTAAGATAAATAAGAAAAATGTTGTCTGTTTTATGGCACTTGAAATATTCGTATTTATAAAACTAGCACGCGTGTGATTTTTTTTTAAAGTGCTGAACCGGTGCATTTACACGTGCCACGGATCAATAGAAAATTTGATAAAAGTCGAAAATTCTGGCTTGTTCAGCTGAGCTTGAATGGCTTCGGCTTGGCAGGGCTGGTTCGATCAATTGGACTTGGTTGGTGTTGTCAGTCGGCTAGGATCGATTGTCTTTGTGTCGGTAGGATTGCCTTGGTCGGTTGAGTTGGTAAGGCTGTCAACCTCTGATAACATATGAGGAAGCTTCTGAGCATCCCTGATATGATTGGGGATGTCGATGGGCTAAATTTTCCCTCGAGTCGGCTTTTTCATGTCATTTCGCTTGGATTTCTTTTTGTTTCTTTTCTTACCGAGCAGCTCGAAATCAATCATCTTCATAACTCGATCAGTTTTGGCCTTGTTTGTAATGACTCTGACCATTGACTCCCGATCGATGTCATGTCGTTGTTTCCATCAAGCCCCCTATCATTAAACCATCGATTTGATGGTGTTCTGCTGACATTTGGTTGTCTTAATGATGTCATAATTAATTGACCTTGGGCTCGGTGGATCCGTATTATTGAAACGCTCGATTTGACTATAATTATGACATTTTTGAAATTCATTTAACCTTCCAATTTATGCACTGAAAGGTTTCAGAAGTGATTTAAAATGACTTGATTTGACTCAAATTGGACCAATTTTAATTTCTTTGGGTTCGTCTCGTCGAGCCGGTCTGTTTGACTTTAAGTTTGCAAAAATCAAAATTTTAGATAACTCTTAAACAAAGTTTGAACATTTCTTACCCAAAAAATTATCTTGAAATTTGTGTCAAAGCTCGAGATTCATACGAGATCGTGGAAATTAGTTGGTGGCTTATCAAAGTTTAGCAGTCTGTTTGGAGCAGCTATAACTTATTAAAAAACAGTTGTGAAGCTACTGAATAATAATTATTTGATCAAAAAGCTGTGGTGACTATTACAATTTTTTTTCTTTTAAATCAGACCGCAGTTGAAAGATGTTACTGCACCTACTTAGAAGTGGTAGGAAAACGTAAATTTTAGCGGCAGTTTTTTGAAAAACTACCAAAACACGATTTACCCACCCAAACAATAAGTTTTAGATATATAATTGATACACCACCAACAAATTTTTATCATCCAACACGAATCTCGAGGCATGACATGAATCTTAAGATGATATTTAAAACAAGAACATTCAAATCTTATCCAGAGCTCCGATTTCAGCAAACTTATAGTCAAACTGACATGTTCAATGAGACGAACCTAATGATATAAAAACTAGCCCAATCGAAGTCAAATCAAGCCCAGATCAAGTCATTAAATCACAGTTAAAAGATTTATGAATACATTTGGAAAGTCAAACGTATGTCAAATATGGCAAGTTTCTACTCAAATCGAGCGGCTCGACAAGACGAATCCAACGCGCCAATGATACCTCCCATCGAGACATTGATCACTCAATTTTGACATCATTAAGACACTCAAATATCCATTAAACGTCATATGATCGAGGAAAACTCTCCGGACCGTCCGATCAAAATGATTCATAATCTTGTATTAATTGCACCCAGAACACTATAAATAGATTTTCATTCCTCTCAGAGTTTCATTCCTCTCATGAGGGGGATGAAGTCTAGAGAGAGCCTAAGGTCTTGAGGAGAAGATGCAACTCAACATCACCACCAATCGTCGTCGACCACCGCCGACCCCAGATGACCACCGCCGACCTTCGTCAACCTCCACATACCGTCATCAATCACCACCAACCAGACCACGTCAGTCGACATTGTAATCTAAAAAATATAGTTACCTTCTCCCGTCTGTGAGACAAGGGATTTCTGTAATTACAATCAATAGTGGATTTTCGCAACTAGGTCAGACCCCTTGGTTTTTCCCTAACGGAGTTTCCACGTAAAAACTTCTGGAGTCATCACCGCTTGTTTTCTATTTCATCTGTGTGTGTGCTGAATTTTCGTACAACGCTAAGACGATTGACCGTTACTCTACTGCCACGAATTTTCTAGCACACACTAATAATACATAAAAATTTGGTGATATGCATGTAAATGCCAGAAGAAAAAAAAAAAGAAACCGCGAATCCTACATAATAAAAATATAAAATAAAAATAAAAACATCCGAATGAGAAGTACAGCAACATGGACTCCATATAAGCAGACAGCACTAAAAACAAAACGCAGCCATATTAGCAATAAATATCTATAATTTAATTTAATAATAATGATATATTTCCTAAAATATATAATGATATAAAGATTGATTTAGATATGTTAAGACCTTAAATTATAACATAAGAAATTAATATTATATTTAATGTATTATTTCATGATTTTTTATAATCTTTTGATCATTGGTTATATTCATCAAAACTTCTTCATGCATGATACCCATTATAGAAAATAATAATTGTGGCTTTTAAATTTTAACATTTTAAAAGAAGGTTTACATAAATACCACTCTATTACTATCTATTTACATATAAAGACCTTTAAACTACATTTTCTTACATATATGCCATCTTGCTTATAAATCGAAAGGTGTATTCACTTTTTAAAATTAAAATAGTGGTGTTTTTTTAAGTTATATGTAGGGCTTTCAAAAAAGATGGTTGTTCATGAATAGTTCGTGTTCGGTTTGTCAATGAGTTCGTGTTCGATTCGTTCGATAAGTAAATGAGACAAACGTGAACAATTTTTTTTCGTTCCGTTCAATTTTTTTTCGTTCAGTTTGTTAAACGAATCAAACACGAACAGTGATGTTTTCGTTAGTGTTTAAATCGTTATTGTTCGAAATATAAAATAATTTAAAATATTTATATATAAAAAATTTTATGATATTTTAAAAAATTAAAATTTATAAAATATAATATATAATAAATTAAAAATAATAATATATTAATATACTATATTAGTAATATACTAATACAGATATTATATATTTATACAATATAGGTTATATATATTAATATCAGGGACGTCAAACTGGCTCGTCGTTTGCGAACAGCTCGTGTTTGGCACGTTCGTGTTTAAGAAATAAACACGAACAATTTCAAACATGAGCTTATTTTAAACAAATTAAATTCAAACGAACTGGACAGGAACACAAGCTCTGTTCGTTCGTGTTCGGTTCATTTACACCCCTAGTTATATGAAAGCTGTAGGTGGCATAAATGTAAAAAAAGGAAAATTTTAATATTAGATATGTAAACACGTAAGTATTAGGTGGTATGTATGTAAATTATTTAAAATAAGAATAATATAAATTTTCGTTGACTATTCATATAATTAAGTTAGAGTAAATTTGATGACTTTTTTTAATAAGATATCTTTAAGACATTTGGCGTGTAAATTAATCGAGGTCATTTTATTTTAAAAATAAAATCTTTTAATTATATGACAAGAGATTAATATAAATATTAAATAAAATAGGTGTTATAATTAAATAGAGTGGATTAATAAAAAAACGAAGAAAAAGAATGAAATTCAAATTCAGTAAGGTGCAACGGCTACTTTTCTCCACTTCTGCCCAGCCCTCCTTGCTATCCTACGCCGAGCTAAATGCCAATTGCTATTGCAGCGGCGAAGCGGCCATCATCAACCTCTGCAAGCAGAAGAACTTCGAAGATGCCATTTCTGTCTTCTACTCCCTTGAATCCAAAACTCTCGGCCGCAGCACTTACGCTAATCTCTTTGTGGCCTGCGCCCAGCTCAAGTCTATCCACCATGGCCGCCTTGTTCACCGCCACCTCTTTTCTTCCAATGTCATCCCTGATGTCATCCTCCACAACCATATCCTCATCATGTATGGAAAATGTGGGGCCATGGATGACGCCAGCCAGCTGTTTGACACTATGCGCGAAAGGAATGTTGTTTCTTGGACTTCCATGATTTCTGGGTATTCCCAGAGCAATAGAGAAACGGAAGCTGTGGAGCTGTACCGGGGAATGCTTCAGAAAGGCTTGGTTCCGGATGATTTCTCTTTAGGAAGCCTGATTCGATCTTCTTCAGGCCTATTTGATGGAGAGTTAGGAATGCAGGTGCATTCCCATGTCATAAAGCTGGGTTATGGGTCTGATGTTACTGTTCTGAATGCACTCGTAACAATGTATTCGAAAACAGAGAGAATTAGCGATGCATTTGTAGTGTTTCAGAGGAATACAGAGAAGGATTTAATCTCTTGGGGATCAATGATTGCTGGATTTGCTCAGCAAGGTCATGAATTTGAAGCATTGCACCTTTTCGGGGAAATGATTGGTGCAGGGGTTCATAGGCCTAACGAGTTTCATTTTGGGAGTGCTTTTAGTGCTTGTGGAAATCTAAATCTATTGAAGTATGGGGAACAGATTCACAGTTTATGTACAAAGTTTGGGCTTGAAAAAAACTCATTTGCTGGTTGTTCTTTGAGTGGCATGTATTCAAGGTGTGGAAACTTGAATTGCGCAAGGAAATCATTCTACCTGCTGGAGGAGCCTGATTTAGTTTCATGGAATTCAGTAATAGGTGCATTTTCTTCTGGAGGTTTTGCCGATGAAGCTATTCATCTTTTCTCAGAGATGAGACTTTCAGGTTTGGAACCAGATGATATTACCATTCAGTGCTTGCTTTCAGCTTGCACTATTCCCCAATCTCTATTTCAAGGCCAGTTAATCCATGCTTACTTATTCAAGATGAGTTTTTGCAGAAGTACCGCAGCCTTTAATGCCCTTCTAAACATGTATGCAAAATGTTCAGACCTGAATACTGCAATGAATCTTTTTGAAGAGATGAACAAAACTCGCAATTCTGTTTCCTGGAACACAATTTTAACTGCATGTTTACAGCACCAGCAACCACGTGAGATTTTCAGATTATCTGCACTCATGAGAAGTTCAAACTTTGAATTTGATAATATAACTTTAAATAGTATATTGAGTGCTGCTGCTGATTTAGCTTGCCTGGACATGGGAAATCAAGCACACTGTGTTGCTCTGAGGACTGGATTTGTAGATTCTCTGATGGTTAGGAATGGCTTGATTAATATGTACGCTAAATGTGGAAACTTAAGCCTTGCAGGAAAGTTATTTGAGTTGACAGGTAGTCATTGTGATGTTTTCTCGTGGAGCAGTTTGATTGTAGGCTACGCACAGTTTGGCCATGGAAGGGAATCTCTTGAGCTTTTCAAGAGAATGCAGAACTCTGGCATTCAGCCAAATCATGTTACATTTGTGGGGGTTCTCACAGCCTGTAGTCATATTGGGCTCGTAGACGAAGGGCTATATTACTACGACATGATGAGCACCATTTATGCTATTCGTCCCACGCGAGAACATTGTTCGTGCATGGTTGATCTGCTCGCTCGAGCCGGTAGATTAAGTGAGGCTGAAAGCTTCATTAACGAGATGCCAATTGAACCAGATGTGATAATGTGGAAGACTTTGTTGGCTGCCTGTAAAGTTCAAAATAATGTGGATATTGGGAGAAGAGCGGCTGAGAGTGTTCTGTGCATTGACCCCTACAATTCTGCAGCTTATGTTCTGTTGTGTGGTATTTATGCTACTTCTGGTCGTTGGGATGATTTGGCGGAGCTGCGAAGATTAATGAAGAGTTATGGAGTGAAGAAATCTGCTGGGAAGAGCTGGATTGAGGTCAGAGGAGAAATGAGTGGCTTCATTGTGGAAGACAGAAGACATCGAAGAGCAGAAGATATATATGGAATGTTGGAAGTTTTAGATTTTGATATGAGGCTTTATAACAAAAATATGTTAGACTGAATTTCTCTGACTCGCATTTTGGACTACCAGCAGCCTAGACAACCAGCAGCTTGGACGACATGTGATCTAAACAACTAGCAGCTTGGATGACCCGCAGCCTGGATAGCCCGTAGCCTGAACAACCCACAGCATGCACGACCGGCTGTCCGAACGACCCGTAGTCTGGACAATCCGCCACATGGAAGGCCCGTAACCTGGACGACCCACAACCTAGACAACGAGCAGTCTAAACAACCTTTAGCCTTGGCGACCAACAGCCTAGACGACCAACAACTTACAACCCGCAACTTGATGACCCGCAGCCTGCATAACCAGCAGCTTGGACAGGCTCGTAAATGCAAAATTTCAGAAACACCCCTAGCAAACCCCCTTATTATAAGGCTAGACACTAAGGGATATCAAACAATTGAAAATTCCATCAAATTTAATCATTTATAGCTCTGTATTTTTTTCTATAGCATTTGAGCGCATTTAATTATAACCTAACGATAAATCTATATAGTTTAGGCCTCAAATATAATACCGTATGAGAGGAATTGAATCCTATAGGACATGAGAATTGAACCTTTAATAGGAATACATGTATATTTAGGCTATGAGAGTTTCAAAATGATAGCATTCCGGAATCATACATCCTAAAATTTGACATTTTTTTTCATATAAATAGTAAAATTTATTATTTTCTTCGTTATGCAATTAGACAATTTAAGAATTTTGCTCCATCTAGATATATTTTTATGCTCAGTACTTTAAAAACACGTAGATATGTACATAAATTAGATGACATTAACATATGGGAAAGGATCAGGCTGCTACATATGCAACAATTATGTGGCTCATAGGGGAAAAGATTCTGCCAATTTTCCATCTGCTGATTTGAATTAGTTTGACTGTTAGAAAATAGTTTATGATTTATAACTACAGCTCAATGTTGGCAATTGCCCAATGGCTTAAAAGTCGGCCAATTGGGGCTGGCTGGGCTAATTGGAGCTGGTTGACTGGAGCGTAGACAAGTTCAATAGATTATTGGGACAATCTCAGTGCCTTAAATTACGAAAGAGAATTTCTGTCATACATTATTATTAATAAATAGGTATTTTTGCTTCCATAATATATATGTCTTAATTCTCAATTAATTTAATTTTTAATATTAATTTATTTACTTAGTAAACTTTCTCATTCTTAAGAGGAGATAATTTCAGCTCTACCTATACATATAGTGATGAATGAACACCTGATATTGGAGAGATGTGTAGATTTAGGGATGAGTCATGTAAATAAGATGAAAATAAAATAAAACTATTGCATATGACAGGCCATGTATATCATGCTCTTTATTATTATTTTGGACGGGCCAGCGCTTCAACATATTTAAGATTTATTTTATTTTATTTTTAATTAATGTGATATACATTTAAGCACTGAGCAATATTTTTTTTTTTTATTCATTGACTAATATCTAGAAAATTCATGACAATAGAGTAATAGATTATCGTCCTAGTGTTATATGAGAATTCAACACACACTCTGATAAGAGAAAATAACAAATAGAAATGCAAGAAGTTTTTACGTGGAAAAGACGGGATGGGAAAAAATCAAAGGGTTTGGCCCAGTTAAAGAGTTCCACTATAGAAAGATAATTACAGTAGCAACCACTTGTCCCATAGGCAGAAAATGGTTACTAGGTTTTCCAAGTTACAATGTCGACGCACTGATGGATTTGTTGCTAGGAATAAGTGTCGACCGATAGAGATTGTTAGCGTATGATTGGTGGTTGTTGATGGTGATTGGCAGTGAATGGCGGCGTTCGGTGATGGTTGACAGAAATTGGCGGTGATCATCGATGATCGGCAGTGATCGATGACGGTCATAATTGATTAATGACGGTCGGCGGTGGTTGATGGTGATCGACGACAATTAGCAGTAGTGGTGGTGAAATTTCGGCTCCTTCTCCAAACTTCAAGCTCCCCTCTTCCCTCATGAGAGGGGCGGTGCTCTATTTATAGAGTTTCGGGTGTAATTAATACAAGAATATAATTTCTTTGATTAGACGATCTGAAGAGCTCCCTTTGATCAGACGACATTTGATGGATATTTGAGTGCCTTAACGATGTCAGAATTGACTGATTTTGAGTTCATTTGATTTGGCTTGTCGAGACTCTTGATTTGACAATAAGCTCGTCAAATTTGACATTCATTTGACCTTCTAAATATGCTCAGAAAGTTTTCAAAAGTGACTTAATGGCTTGATCTGAACTTGATTTAGCACGGATTTGACTAATTTTGGTATCATTGGATCTGCCTCGTCGAGTTGGTCATTTGACTATAAGTTTGATGAAATTTGAACACTAAATGACTTGATTAAAGTTTGAATATTTTTTACTTAAAAATTTATCTCGAGATTCATGTTTTATTGAAGACGTTTTAAGATCATTGTCATCTTCAGAAAATATTAAATTCCGAAGCACTATAGATTTATCATAGTATTATTAGTGTATTACTTAAAAATTGACACGTATGCATATAAATATACAAGTTTCAGTAATATAAATATATATGATTTATGTGGCATGTATGTAAATATTTTAAAACTATTTTCATTTCCGTTAAATCTAGCATTCTCTTTCGTCTATTTTTCAAATTATCACTTAAATATCAAAATTCACAAGAAAACTCGAACATTTATGCTTCATTTTTTATCGATTTATTGATGTTTTGATCATGACATGCATATATCCGATTCATATAAATAATAACATTTCAAGTGATGTGTATTTAAGTTTTTTTTTTTTTTTTTGGAAAAATTATTCCCTTTCTTGAAATAAAAACTTGGAATAAATCGTTTATGGAGTGTAGTGGACGATATTTCATGCAGGGCCGTCATAAAAGCTTCATGTGTCATGTTCATGGTAACTTCATTTATATATATAATGAACTTTAATTTGGTTTGTTCGCTTAGCTAGCACACACAAGACTCTTGCTCACCAAGTGTTGATGCATATTATGTTTTCTGATCGCTCATCTGTGAGATTAGAAATAAGGAAAAAATTTGCGTACGTAAGACGTACGCATCGCTACGTACATAATAGAGGTTATATGTATGTTATATTAACATTACATGAAAGTTATATGGAGATTACAAGAAATATAACACAAATATAATATTGATATAACACCCATATAACCTCCATTATATACGCAGCGCATCTTACGTATGTAATTTTTTTCAGGAGCTTCTCTAAGGTTGTAAAGTTTCTTTTTTTCTTTTTATTTCAAGGATTCAATTATTTTATTTTATTTGAATTTAAAACAGATTAATATTTGATATTTTAATGTGATAATTAATATATTAATATAACTATTAAATCACTCAAAATTTACTTGTAAATACTGCTTATTTTCTCATAATTGTTATTCACCAATCACCATATTCAGATTTAAAGTCATCAAATTTATCATTTATACCATTACATTTAAAATAATATTATTAAATTTATTAATATAATAATTATAGTGAAATAATAATAATAATAATTAAATCTATAATATGAATAAAAATTAATAACCAATCATAGTAACTTGGATCAATTCATTCTGGTCAATGGACTGATTCTCTAAAATCTGCTCAAAACAACTTCATATTATTTCATAGAAAAAAATCAAGCTAGCTACTTCTGAAATGTCAAAATTATACTCCTTATATTACTGTCAAGAGGATGACAGTTTTTGTGTACACATGCTTTTCTTTATATTTCACTGATGATATCCTCTGACACTCCAATAACTCTGATTGGTTATATAGAGATCAAACTAACTAGATATTTACATCAGCTTCACATGAACCAGTTACAGTGAAACTGGGTTAGACCCAAAGTTGATGATTGGGTTAATGTTCGTACCGAAGAGAAAACTTAGGTGCGCCAGTAAATGAGTGTAGCACAAGTGTTACATAATTAGAGATATATGTGTTGCACTTGTATTCATCTCAAAATAAAGTAAATATAGAACTTTAAGATTCATCCTGACCTGAAAATTTTCGTCATGAGTCAATTTACCAGCTCCAGATCCCGGGCTTCTCAGTTCGAGACAAAGTTAACATCTCTTCATATTTTGAAGGGTAAACAAAGCCCCATAACTGCATGTAAGTTGAGCTCCAGTATGCAAAAATGAATTAATATTGTTTTGATAGTAAGAAAAAATTGCAAATATTTCTATTAATTTACCTCAACCTCCTTCACTTTGAAGTCCTCAGAATGTGCAAGGCATGGATTGCCGAATGTCTCTGACTGATAACTTGAACCATTTAACCTTCCAAATTAAGAAAAAAATTTAAAAATCAAGATTAATATTAAAGTATGAGATTTCTATTAACTCATACTTCTTGGCCATGGAGAAAATAGAGAAATAATAAGAGAAGAAGGTGAAGCTCACAAGTCTACATCCAAGTATAGTGCGAAGTGGCCACCTCCACCCATAGCAAAATAATCCGGAGAGCAGAGAGTGAAATAATGATTAGCACCTGAAAGTTTGGGATTCAGATGTATTTTCCTAACACTGGATAAATTTGCAATTTTAAAGTTTAATCTTTAAGAGGACGGTATGATGTTTCAGTTGATTTATTCAATTTTTTTCCCAATAGCTAAGAAGGAAATTTCATCAGAACAAATTATTACAAATAAAATTGCAGTAAAACTACATCAAAATTGGTAGATTAACCGAGGCGGGTCAGGAAACACTAACTAGTGATATTTTAAAATCAGAAGTAAACAAGAAGAGAAGGGCAATCTGACTACCTGTGGGGCGAAAGATAATAGGGCTGTCATAAATATTTGTGAAAACAAAGCTACTATTCGTCCCCTGCTCGAGTAAAAATACAAATTAATAGGGAAAGCATAGCACTAATGTGACTAAAATGGCAATGGTGAATGAAATGATGAAAAGTTCATGGTAGATGTTCCATGTTTTTCTCATAATCAAATGAAAAAAATGGGGGCATTTACATATATATACCACACAATTTTTATGTATTTATATATCTAACACCTAAAAATTCATATATATATATATATATATATATATCGTTTTTTTAACATATATTGCAATGTAGATAAGAGTGTACGCATAAATATAATCATATACCTAAAATTCAAACTTTCTATGCGAATTTTAAATGGAGGTTAATATGCTGAACTGAGCTCACTTGTTGAATGGGCCCATCTGTTTAAGTGACTGCACTGAGCATCTTCCATAGTGGTGACCAAGCCTTCTGAACAACTTTCATAGATGATCATCATTACTAAGAAGGGCACAAGTTCGAAAAGCACCGCCTAAAATCAACGCCACATTCTTATTGTCAAGACATCATGGATGTGTGTCCTACTGCACTAAACACATATTTTTTTTTACTATTCTCTCCTCTTAGAATAAAATGAAAGTCAAGACGAGAAATAGGAAACCTGGATTTTTTCCCATAATCTCTCTCTCTCTCTAAAACCATAGCTTACCAGAGGTCTAAGTTTAACATACAATTCCTGAGGCCTCCTCTCAAGCCTAATATCCATCACTCTTTCATCTCTTTTCCACAAATTGTATGCACTCACGAGTATTACAGGACCCTCTGTTCTAAAATGATTCAATAGTGATAAAACTTTACATATGTCAAACTTGCTATTATAAATATCAAAAACATGATATAATATTTAACAATGGTACACTAAAAAAACACACATAAAATAAAAAAAATGCAAAGTTAGCTTCCTACTTACTGAAAAATAAAAAATATTTGTTAAAACGTAACACAAACTTAAATAAATAAATATTTTTAGAGAGGATTAATGCTACATTTTTCTTATTGTTAAATTTTGAGGAAGAAGAAGTTTATCAATAGAGGAAGCTCTCAAACTGGAGAAAATTTTCCGTCTGAAAATCACACATCCGTACGATCAATTACTGGGTGTCACATCTTTATACATCACATCGGCGGACGACTTTATGCAGGACAAAATATTTTTTTCTCAAATTAGGTGTTATGGTATGGTTCATATATCATATAGGGACGGACGCTGGAACGAAGCGGGGTGGAAGAATCAGTCTAAATCGGGAAGTTACGTTATGTGGGTTGGGGGTGCGGAGGCAACGCCCCGCGGTACGGTACAAGAGGTAATGTTGTAATTACATATTGTACTTAGAATTTACTTTTGGTTTATAAATGAGTTTGTTTGTAATCCCGGGAGGTATCCCTGAATTCTGTAACCCTTTTCTGAATATTAAAAAGAATCGCCGCTCTGCTCCCGAGGACATACGCATCTTTGCAGAACCTCATTAAATCTCTGTGTGTTCTTCTGGATTTGTGTCGATTCTTATTTTTTCTTCGCCCTAATTTTTTAACAAGTAGTATCAGAGCGAGGTTCTAGGCAGAGAAGAAAAATATCGGCGCAGAGGACGAGGAAGATTTGGAAGAGAATTTCAAATCACTAAGTTCGATCGTATTTTCAGAAACTTCATTAAAAAGTTTATCAAAGTAACTCACTCACCTATGTTGAATATCTTTTTCTAAGAAAAGTATTTTTTGATTTTCATCTTTAATACATTTTACTTGAGTTAAATCTTTACTTTTCTTTTCACTTTGTTTGGTTAGTTTATACATATATTTTTCACCCTCCTTAGTATCTAATCTATTATAAATATCATTAAAAGCAGAATTTTTTACGTCACAGATTGTTCTTTTAGACTCGCTGCGGGCCGTTTGATATTTTTTTCAGTTCTCTAAGCTTTTACAATTAAACCAATTTTTATAACATAATTTCTTATATTTTATCTTTCCTTGCACATTATTATTCCAGCACCAACTAGTTTTATTTGTAAATATTTTTTTTTTGATTCTCCAAGAACAACTTTTGCTACTTGTTTAATAGTGTTTGTTATTTTATCCCACATCACATTTGCTTCTTCATGAATATCCCAAATTTTGAAATCTTGAATTTTAC